TTATGTAATCCAAAGATCGGAAAAAAGAACAAGGTGAAAATTTATTTACACCAGAATTCAAAATCTTGCAATTCGAAGACGAAAATCACATGATTTTAACGTAATTAAATTTAGGTTTATCGTAATATCCTCTTCAACAAACATACCAATACTAAGATATCGCCTCAACTCTCTCAATCAATTAATAAAAGTGCAGTTTTGAGTTTTACACCTTTGAAGGCTGTACAAAATTTAGATGATGATGTAACGGAATACGTAAGTGTCAGTTCGTGTCACAATATTAATATTGATAAATATTTGCAATAATCTAAACATTTTGTAGTAGCAGATCAATTTATATGATCAAAATAGATATTTCTTTGAGAGTACCTATACACACACTACTACTCCTACATAGAACCACACACATAATACAGCTACTACATGCTTTCTTTTTTTTAAAAAAATAAACATTTAAAATAAACCCTTATAATTTCTTTTAAAAAATCAGACATGCTTTATTATTTATTATTTGCAATTTATACAACATTTTTCTTTTTATTGTTTGATCTTTTGCTATTATACTTGGTAATGTGTAAATATATTTTAAATTAAAAAAAATTTTATTTTAATGTTTTATTTTTTATTTTTACTAATTTAATTATAATTATAATTATAATGATCTTATTTAATATTTAGTTTTGTATAGTAGCATTTTTATACTTTCCAACATTTCAAAGTTATTTCATTTTTATGCACTGGCTCAATTTCCCGAACGGAAAAGAGTTAGATAAACCAGAATGCTTTGGTTTACAAGGTAATAAATTTTTTTCAAATTATACAGATAGAATTGTTCGATAGTTATTTCATTAATTACTAATTATTAATTTTGAATTAGCATATTCTACGCGCAAGATATCAATATCAACTCCAGATGGATTACAACTAGGTAATTCGATTAATCATATGAATATTTTCAACAAAAAACCTCGTAGTTTTATTACGCGCGCGCACACATATAGCTATTTAATAATTATATAATTGAATATATAAAAATAAATCACTCACACATACACACATACATATTAGGTGGCTGGCATATTTTATCACGAATTAGTAGTAAAAACCTGTCATCAAATCTTAGAGCATGTGATATTGATTGTAATATTGAATCTGATCCGTTATTTGAAGAAGGTATAAAAAAAGCAGACCTAGTGATTATCTATTTCCACGGTCAAATAGGTATGATGTAACTTTATTTATTATTCATTTTATAATATATATTTACATTAATGATATTGATTTTTTCATATTCTTATTATATTTTTTTTTGTTTTAATTAAAAGGGAATAGAGGAAAAGAAAATAGAGTCAACACTTATAAAGTAAGGATCAAATAAATAACATTTTATTTTTTTAGCAGTAGTAGTGATAAATAAAAATG